ATATATATATATAAATAATTTTTACATTGCAAAAATATTTCACAATATTACTGTTTTATTGTATTTTTGACCAAATAAATGCAGCCTTGCTAAGAGATTTTTTTTTCAACAACATTTAAAAATTGTAATTATTTAAAACTTTCAGTCGCCAGTGTATATATTATTTTATTACTTGTATTTTTTTTTACAATTAAAAAAATATATATTTTTAAATTATACATTTTAAAGAAATGAATAAGAATAAATAAAAATATGTATACATACATAAAATATATACATTTTTCATTTAATTTTGTGTGTGTGTGTACATACATAAATACACACACACATATATATATATATATATACACACACACACACACAACCGGTCAAAAGTTTGGGATCAGAATGATTTTTTATGTATTTTACAGGAGTTTCTTATGCTCATCAAGGCCGCATTTATTTGACCAAAAATACAGGAAAAATGTAATATTGTGAAATATTATTATGATGTAAAATATACATTAAAATATAATTTATTCCTGTGATGCAAAGCTGAGTTTTCAGCATCAATAATCCAGTCTGTAGTGTCACATGATCATTCAGAAATCATTCTAATATGCTGATTTATTATCAGTGCTGGAAACTGTTGTGCTGCTTAATATTTTTTTGGAACCAGTGATACTTTTTTTTCAGGATTCTTTGATGAATAAATGTTAAAAAGAAGAGCAACATTGATAATTTTATTAATAAATCAGCATATTAGAATGATTTCTTAAGGATCATGTGACACTTCATACTGGAGTAATGGCTGATGGAAATTCAGCTTTACATCACAGACATAAATTATATTAAAGGATATTAAAATAGAAACCATTATTTTATATTGTAATAACATTTTGCAAGATTACTGTTTTTTCTGTATTTTTGATCAAATAAATGCAGCCTTGATGAGTATAAGAGACTTCTTTAAAAAACATTACATGTCTTACTGGTCACAAACTTTTGAGTTTATACCGGTAGTGTATATATATTTATTTATTTATCACATGAGACTTCTCAGAACGCAGACCTTTCATGTACAGTGGCAGCTAAGCTGTGCACCACAAGATTTAACAACAATAAGACAAGCCTTCATTTCTCACTGGGGTGGATTTTTGTAGTTGTATCTATATACTAGTGTTCGTCAGACTTAATCTTTCTGTCCGGCACCGATCGCTGGCCAGCCAAGTGTTCATTTCACTTTGGAATATCTGAGGGAGTCAAGCAGACACTCCTGTGTACACTCAGATAAGCCGGCAACATTTTTCAGACTTTACAGGAGCAATCAAAGCTGCTTACGAATCCGTTCCAGTTGGAAGAACAACTTTATTTCAACAGGCTTTTACTCAACCCGTGACGGCATAGCAGTATCAAACTATTTCACCGCCTCAGGGAGAAAAAAACCCACGAGATGGCTGTGATTCTGTGTGTGTGCTTGTGTTATTTTATTTCAGGTCTTACCTCTCCCTTGCTGGCACAGTGCATCACGGCAGGAGGCCCCAGGATACGGTTGTCATTCTTGTACAGGAAGCTGTATTCGGGAGCCTGGAAGTCTTTCAACACAAACACGGTCTCGAACTCGCAGTTCTCGCCGTCACCAAAATCTCTGACATTGTCAGTCTTGATACAGGGGGTGTTTATATCCTAATAGGGATGAAGATGACAATGAGAATATCAGTAAACACATTAGCTGGATTGTGATCACAATTTCTTCAATGTAGAGAGCGCTCTCCTTTAGTAAAAGGGATCTCAAAGATGTTAAAGCGTTCTGACAGATGACACACTGAAGAAAGACAGCAGTCATTTGTCAAATGCAGATTTAGTGGATACAAACACAAGTGCCAAGGGCGGTTCACACAGGACAGTTAAATAGACAATAAAGTATACAACAGAATGCATATTGGATCGGCCAGTATAGGCCATTTACCTGTACATGTTAATTTCTGCCTATTTTTTAACAGTTATATTTTCTTTTTAACTCTAGGGCCTATATTAAAAATAATAAATAAAAAAAACTATCACCGTTTCCCACAAAATTAAGCAGCAAATCTATTTAATGTATAAGAAATGTTTCTTGAGCAGCAAATCAGCATATCAGAATGATTTATTAAGGATCATGTGACAAATTTGAAATTATAGTAATATTACAGCACAATAATTATAATATTATGTCATAATACAGTAATATTTACTGTTTTTTTTATTTTTATAAATAAACGCATCCTAGGTGAGTATACGAAAGAATATGTCCGCCGTGAACAGCCCATTAAGTTTTTTAAGGGAACTGAAGGGAGATCTGTTAGTGCAGAAATTTCCATTATTCTTGTCATTTGGGATTCACTTTCAGAAATTATTATTCAGACTTACCTGAGTGCAAAAATAAAGATTAAAAGACAAAAAATTAAACATAAAACTAAAACAGGAGTTAATCACCAAAGGGCTGATTAAATAACTGATTGAATTAATTCTAATTCAATGGATTAAAGACCACCTGCTGGACAAACACAGAACAAGTTGTTAGATCACATTGTTAGAACTTAGTCCAGACCACCGTGTGAGTGAGTTTGGTATTAAACAGTGCAGTGCCACACCGAATCCCCCCTTAAAATACCATGCCGCAAATCCCCCGGTGCTCTCAAGCATGCAAAGATTCCGGGTGCCGAGACGTACCATATTGACTATAGACTTTATCAATTTCTCACACGCCTCTGTGCCCGGCTGCCCTTCTTTAATCTTTACCACAGGGACTTCCATTATTGTGATGGCCTGTAAAAATGAAGAATTGACATCAACCTGGCAACCCAAAGCTGATAAATTTCCCAGGCAGGAGGGTCTACAACCTGTCAGAACCGAGATGAGAACTTCAAACAAATGTCAAGAAAAGTCCAGGAGGAAGATCTGCTACAGTAATAAGTTGCGTAAGGGCAGGGAGAATAGATTACTAAAAGAAGTAGCTACATCTGAAGTCTTCTCACATCATGTCAAGGGTAAGCATAGGAGACTTTCAGGAACATCCTCTTCCTCCCATGAGCACTACATGAGAAGTTCTCATTCCGAATCCACACACATTTAACCTCATTTATCAAGCTCTGAGCCTAAATGTCCCATCATTGGCCTGCGCTACCTCCAAACACAACTGTCAGAGCAAATGAAGGAACATTCATAACCTTTCGCCCGTTAACTCCCAAACGCCACATACCACATGTCAGTGTAAGAATGTGAAGTAAAATGTTCATCAGCATCAAATCCAGTTCAAAATCAGAGAGAACATGGTCCTCAAAGTTGCTGTGCTACTGACACACTTGGCCAAATTCTGCATCTGTTCTGGACTCAAACAGCTCATTCGGTTACTGCATGAAACGAAACAAAGACCTATGTCTACAATATAGAACTGTTGTATAATAATCATAAAAAACATAGAAAGCATAATAAGAGGAACAAGTAAAATGTCAGTATGAGACTTTTTGAGACAAGTGGCATTTCATCATATGACGGAGCCCAACTCAATGATTTATCACTGCTTGACAAAAACAAATTAATTAAAAATAGCAAAATAATTCAATTTTCACAGGTAGGCCTGTCGCAATCAATATATCGACTTATCGCGCAATATATGTACATGACCTCAATCATTTTTGGTGACGCAATATATCGCCCATTTTATTTACTTAAAAATTAAAGTCCGTCATTTGGAAGTGTGTAGGCCTTCTTGCATTATTATGCTGTTACATTACAATTATATATTCAGTGGCATAAAATGGTCTTTAAAATGACAATAATATCGCTTATCGCAATTATTTCTGGGGCAATATATAGCATAACTAAAAGGTGTTATCGTGACAGGCCTATTCACAGGCACATATTAAGGAAATATTTGTAATTATAATTTACCATCACCAGGTGCTACAGCTACTGCTAAAATGAATACACTACTGTCAAATTTTGGGGTCAGTAAGACTTTTTTGGAGGGAAGAAAATTATTCAGCAAGCATGCATTAAATTGATCACAAGTAACAGACTTTTACATTGTAACAAAAAATTCTTAAATTTTTTTTTTGAACATTCGATTAAATAGTAAATTCTGAAGAAGAAAAAAATTATCACAGTTTCCACAAATATATTAACAGTTATAACTGTTCAACATCAATAATAATGAGAACTAGAATGATTTCTGAAGGAACATGTGACTGAAGACTGGAGTATGGCTCCTGAAAATTCAGCTTTTCGTCACAGAAATAAATTACATTTTGAAATATATCCAAACATAATAATGAGAACTAGAATGATTTCTGAAGGAACATGTGACTGAAGACTGGAGTATGGAGTATGCAGCCTTGGTGCATAAGAGACTTCTTCCAGAAACATTTTGAAAATTGTACTGAGCCCAAACTTTTAAACGCTAGTGTACATGTAAACATGTTACTGGCAATAAATGTGTTGCTCAGGTAAACTTTAATCAGTCAAGGACAGAAATGTATCAGAATTTTAACTGCTGTTTTAATTTCAGATTTAATTGAATTTTTAATTTCAGGAACACAAACATGCAAGCAGACATAGAAATAATCCAGATCAACCTTAAAATTCAGTTAAAAATTGTTTCAGTCAGGCAAACGGAAGGATTTCAGGTTTATCTTTTGTGCACTAGGCACCAAGCTGGGCAACTATTAGCGAACGGATTACTTTTTATCAGATTGGAAGATTCTGAAGCTCTTCTTCTCCAGCTAAACTCACATTGAACTTGGAATATTTTAGAAGGGTCTGATTTATTATTTTATTTCATCTTACCTCAGTGAAAACAATCTATATAAAAAGCTTGACTCTCTTCTTTGGTACCTGAAGAGCTTTCTCAAGTTCTGCAATGTTGCCGGCCTCCCCCACCAACACCACCCTGGTCTCAACTCTGGGCAATACATCTAAAAAAAAATTTAAAAAAAAGACCACAGGCAAAGGTGAATCTCTATGGAAATAGACAAAATAGAGTGGGAGAAAATAACCTCTTTTGTTATGTTTGTGCTCAGTAAAACGGTCCACCCTACAGAAATGTCAGTTGATATAAGGTTGATCGAGATGGAGGGCAGTTCACTTACCCTCTGTCTCGTCTGCATGTAGACCCATGAAAAATTGCTCCTTTGAGGTCTCGGCCATCCGGGAGTCGTATACGGAGGAGTCTACCAGCAGGCTGCGGCCCAGCCCTAAAGTAACTATGCTGCTGTCAGCCATGGCGCTGTGACAAGGGGTGGCGACCCAGTCCTGTCCAGAATATCAAAAGCTGGAGGCCAGAGAGAAAGGAGTGAACAAGGGCGGCACAAAAATAAGAGACAAACAGCTGAGTTTCTAGGAGGGAATGAAGGTTAAAGGGAGGAGAAAATCAATATATATATAAATCTGCACCAAAATGAATCAAAGTTAACTTATTATGATCTTTAAAAAAAAAATCAACTTGCCAACTGAATAAATGTAATGAGTACTTAATCTGAATGCAACATTACATTAATGAAAAGCTGGTGCAGTTCATTATCAGAACAAGAACGGCCAAACGAGAAACAAAACATTAAATGTCTATATGTATGAGTGTGTGTGTGTATTAGATTGTATATTTTAACAGATAATGAAATAAAGTATCACATATTATAAAGATCTGTCAGGTTTTTTAAGAGAGCAATGCTGTGACAGTTGATTGGCAGCACTTTAATGACTAACGTTAGCTAAGTTAGCTAACTTCTAAACAAAAGAAATTCTTTGCAACAGAGTCTTGTAGCTTGATTTAAGCAGATGTATGATGAAAACTCACCGTACAGAAGTTGGATAAGACCAGAAATATGCTGGTAAGGTTTTGATGAATGAAGAAACACAGAGTTCGACTGGCTGCTAAACCAGCTGAGGCAATCTCCGTTTTTGCTCGCACAACAATTGGTTAAAACTCAAGCGTAACGTTGCGCACGTAAACACCACTGTCCTCGCAATGACACGAAAGTGTGTGTGTGTATTAGATTGTATATTTTAACAGATAATGAAATAAAGTATCACATATTATAAAGATCTGTCAGGTTTTTTAAGAGAGCAATGCTGTGACAGTTGATTGGCAGCACTTTAATGACTAACGTTAGCTAAGTTAGCTAACTTCTAAACAAAAGAAATTCTTTGCAACAGAGTCTTGTAGCTTGATGTAAGCAGATGTATGATGAAAACTCACCGTATAGAAGTTGGATAAGTCCAGAAATATGCTGGTAAGGTTTTGATGAATGAAGAAACAGAGTTCGACTGGCTGCTAAACCAGCTGAGGCAATCTCCGTTTTTGCTCGCACAACAATTGGTTAAAACTAAAGCGTAACGTTGCGCACGTAAACACCACTGTCCTCGCAATGACACGAAAAGTTTGTCTAAAGTGCAAAATAAAACGATTAAGTTACGAAAATAAGTTTTGTTGGTATTTTAAGCCCATTGTATACGCTCATTTGATAGGTGGCTCTGTGCTCAGCTTACTCTCTGAATTCAAAAAAGCAAGCGAACATGAGAGCCTAGCGCCGATTGGCTGAAAGTGACGAGCTCGGCGGAAGTTCAAAGGCGACGCCTCTGATTGGCTGCTGAATTCAAACGGCGATGCGCGCTGTAGAGTCGGCAGCTCTGGCCGTGAATGAATGACACACGTTTTGATTAAACGCAATGATTAAGACACAAGATACTGATGTAAACACAATACTGCAATGCAATGAAACTTATTGTTCGTCCTTACAAACGTTACGTTAAGCATAGTTTCCATCGAAATGCAATTACTGTAAATTGTCATTAATCTAATCTAATCTAATATAGGCCTATACTTAATAATGGATTTTTAAGTGTAAAAGCATTAGTATATATATATATATATATATATATATATATATTTATTTTTTAAAACAAACTATGGTTATCATGATAGATTTGATAAGGTGTGAATCAAACACACTTGTTTGGCTGCAGTTGCTTGTTCTTACTTTGCTTTTCCATGAAAATACAAATATTGTAATTACAATAATTGTAATAAATACAATTGCTTTAATATAATATAATCTAATATAAATATGGGATTTTCAAGTATAAAGGCATTAGTTATATTATATTATTTACAATTTATGCTTCTACACTTGAAACCCCCATAATAATTTATTATGGTTTTATAGTAGGCTAGCAACTACTGCAGTAGGATATTTTAATGGAAACTATGATTACCATGGTAGATTATGATAAGGTGTGAATCAAACTAAATAAAGGCAATGTTTTATTGAACAAGTGAATGCATGATTAAATTATGAAATGTAGTTTCTTTCCTTTTCATTGACATCTTAAATCTGAACACTCCTGTTCTAAAGCTATGTTATAAAAAATAACATGACGACTCATGATAAATAGACTGCCAGGTGTCTTCAAAATCTTTAGACACCTGAAGCCAAACTGAAAGACAAAGTGAAGGCAGCTTGAGTTTTAAATTCCGTTTCAATGCTTGTCACATCTCTCTGGGTCTTTGTGTCTTGCTCGCTCCACTCTCTTTCCTTCTCTTCTGCTTTACTCTCCTGCCACCCCTCATGAGTCTTTGGGAATTTGAAAGACACCGTCTGTAGAACAAAGCCCAGTGAATCTTACCTGGCCCTCTCTCTCTTTGCTGTCCTCCTTTCAGATGTGCACTTTTGTGTCACACACTCTCGTAAAGAGCTTCTAATTACAACCAAAAATAGCCTGAATCGTGGACAATATTAAAAAAATTATATTAAATTTTCATGACATTTCTAACTTGTTTTTGGTTGAGATTTAATGGTCTCGTATGCAAAGTCAAAGACATTGTTTTGTAATGAATGTATTTCATTGTGCATTTGGAAATGCCCTTATGTAATACATATTCACATCAGCTGTGAAAAGCAAAATATTCACATATATATGAACAAAATGATGATACTACCAAGAATCACATCTGCATTCACTATCAATCTTTGTGCTTAGAAATTTACATACAAACAAATAAAGAAACTCGGGTTGATATTGGAAAGTAATTACACCATCTTTAAATCACAATCGTAAGTGGATATTGGCGGTTATGAGACAAAACATTTGGCATCATTACTACATTCACTGTCAATCTGTCATCCAGTTCATGTCAAAGCTGGAAGGATACAGTACATCTGATTTCTGTATTCTTTTCATCACAAACTGACAACATTCATGAGCAATACTGTAAAATAACAGTGTCAGATGCTTTTACAGTACAGCTGGAATATTTATGCTACAACACTCATATTTTCTGAAATACATTTAAAAACATCTCCAGAGTGAACAGTCCACATTTTTATTACCTTTCGAGATTATTTTTGTACAAGCGGACCATGATAGAGATGAATATATCAAGTAGAGACAAATATTTGAAGAGGATTAAAGATATTCAGCTCTACAAACAGCAGAGGAACGAAGCTTTACAGATGGCTTATACAACTGTCATGTCTGAATATAAAAGAGAGTATAAATAATGTACATTACATTAGACAATATTAAATCTTCAAAAGTGCTGTGATCTGACCAACAGTCTCATAAGCAAACAAGCAATAAAAAAACAAAAAAAAACAACAATCAAGTATATTTAAAGGGATAGTTCACCCAAAATAAAGGGAAAACAGCTTCTGGTAGCCATTGTCTTTCATAGTATTGGGGGGGAAAATGCCTACCAGCAATGGTCAAAATATCTTCTTTTGTGTTCGACAGAAGAACGAAATTCATACAGGTTTGGAACAACTTGAGGGTGAGTAAATGATAACAACATTTTTATTTTTTGGGGTGAACTATCCCTTTAAAAGCATTTCAGTGAAAGTTTCAGCAGGACAGAATGGTCTAGAGTCTCTTCCTCTCAGTGTTTTCAAATAGCATCCTTGGTGCAGATATCAGCGTCCGGTGTTCACAGAGATCCAGATACTTCTTTTCAAATACCCCTGCAATTGCTGCTAAGGCACAGCAGAGTGAAAGAACGAAGGCTGCATGCTGAATTTCTGACTCACAATTATACAGAATGTCACATCAGCGCTGGAGAAGGCCAGAAATGACTGGAATCCATTCTGATCGGTCAGTTCACTTACTCCTTCAGCAGAGCAGATGTCTGTGTAGTATTACAAAGAATAGAATATCGAGCTGTTGTCGAGTATGCTGTAACGCATGATGATATGGAAATCGAGAAGACATCACGGCACGTTCAGCATGCAAATCTGCTGTCCTGAGCGGGACGCGGCCCGGTGCTGTCTGCCTCCTCTGTATCGGTGAGGGCAGCGGTGCAGAGGTCACTGAAAATATCTAAAAAGCAGAGAATGAGAAGATGAGTGACATAATATACCGTTTTTTCCATCGAGAGCAACAGGAAACTGGTGGCAAAACAAACCCAGACCTTGCAACAGCACTCGACCACAGCAAGAACAAGATACATACAAAGAAGAAAACCCGAAAAGGCACGACAAAGATGCAAACCTTCAGAGTGATTCCTGTGCTTTACTTCTTTTTAAATGGGATGAGGGCATTTTGTTCCTGCCAGTGAGCACAGGTGGAGAAGCTTGAAGCGCAACATGAAAAGCATTCAAACACTACAGTATATTCAGCTTCAAACAGCTGCAGGGCTCAACAATAAGGATGAATCTATAGGATGATAAGGATGAAGCAATGCAACTATTTTTTTGTGAAGAAAACCTCAATTTAATTAAAAAAACATATTTAAATAAAATATATTTTCCTAACATTGCCTAAATATGATTCTAAAAATGAATGGCATAATCACAGGAATGTCTGTGTGTGTGTTTTGTAAAGAAAACTTAACTTTTTATTCTTATTACATTTACATTTAGTCATTTAACAGATGCTTTTATCCAAAGCGACTTACAAATGAGGACAACAGAAGCAATCAAAACCAACAAAAGGGCAATAATATGTAAGTGCTGTGATAACTCTAAGTTAGCCTAACGCAGTACACGTAGCAAGGTTTTTTTATATATAATAAATAAAAAGAAAAACAAGTAGATAGAATAGAAAAAGAATAGGGAACGCTAGTGTTAGAGGGCTTTTTTTATTAAAATAAAAATATATTTAAATATTTTTTCCTGCCACACATATGTAATAATATAATATAATATAATATAATATATGATAATGTGTGTTTGTGTGGCAGAAAAAAAACATCAACTATTATATATATATATATATATATTACATTAAAAAAATTATGTATGTGTGTGTGTAAGAATATTATCACCATATATACTGTACATTGCACTACTGTTCCAAAGATTTGTATTTCTAAATAAGATTTGACATTTCTATTCATCAAAGAAACCTTAAAAAAAAAAAAAGGTTTACATAAAATATTAAGCAGCTCAACTGTTTTCCAACATTATTAGAACAATTTCTGAAAGATCATGTGACACTGAAGACTGGAATAATGGCAGCTGAAAATTAAGCTTTGGCATCACAAGAATAAATTACATTTTAAAATATATTAAAATTGAAATATTACAAATTAAATGAGCTGTTTTCTCAGTATTACTGTTTGTACTATATGTTTACTGTACGTATATCTGTTGGAGTCAGTGAAGTAAGCAGGACAAAAATCCTTATAGTTGAGTCCAGAGCCGCCTCTGCTCTTAGTCAAAGCTTTAAATGAATAAGCAGCACCTTGTTATTATAGGAAAGCAAGAGTTTGAGAAAACCAGACAAACAAGGCCGAAAGTTGTATTGTGAGCACACCAAGATTTCATGGAATGAAGTGCATGCCTGTGGAGGTGATGTCATGCACACCTCTTTAAAAAAAAAAGCAGACTGCGCAAACAGGTGCCTCCGTCAGTCTCGCCGTTCACTGACCTAGATCTTAAATTACAGCCGCTTTGTGTCACGACGGTGTCTTGTGTGCATTCACATGTAAGGTATGTGTTTGAGTGAGAACGGACTGAGTGACATCAGAGGTCAAAGTGCATTATTTAACGCAGGGGTAGGCAATGTGGGTCCTGAAGTGCCGCTGTCCTGCAGAGTTCAGGAGTGTTTGATTAGGGTTGGAGATAAACTCTACAGGACGACGCTGCCTAACCCTGGTCTAATGCATCGCCATAAAAGATGTAACCCACATACTGTACAGCAGCTAGCAGTGTATGTGTCGAATAGCTATGAATGAATTTTATGGTGACCATCAGTCTGGACTAAGTGATGTCAGTCATGCCTTTCTGCTGCTCGTCCTGGGATTGGTGTGCGGTACCAGAGTTACTGTAAAGGTCTACTCCCTCCGCTGTGGACTGCAGGACAGTGGGTGGCACCAGTCCTGTCTTCTGAGTTTTAAGGTTCTTGACTAGCCTAAAACATGAGAGACAATGTTCATCTTCAACGGCAGCATGAACTTACAGCTTTGTGCTAGAGAACCTAGAGCTGAAGGGTTCAATATGATTAACTGACTGCTTAGAATTATCATTCAGACAGCAAAAAAGGTTGGATGGACCTGTTATATATGGTGGCCTGCAACACAAAACAATGTACCAAACAAAAATGATCAAAACACAACAGAATTAAGCTGCAACACAGCAGAAAAGCAGCCAACCACAAAGAACAGTCGATATGGAATTGGACGATAATACTACATTTATAATAATCAATTTCTGATCCACATGTGTTTCCAGTGGGACAGTGTATTGCAATGCACAAACTAATCTATAAACTTAAATCTATAACATTGATTTTACATGGTCTGAAAAATCTTGATTTTCTGGGTTGACACTGCCCTCTTGTGGTCAGGAGCATTTTCGTTGTTTTGTTGCTAAATTCGGTTGTATTTTAAAAACGTCTTTGCTCTGTAAAAATGTTTTTGTGCACCATAGCCCACCATAGTTACAGGTTTAGCTACATTAATTCAATTAGATTGTATTCACTTTTTATGGAGCCCCTAAAGGGACAAATAAAAAATGAGATGGGAGGGAAAATTATATTTCAATGCTTTTTCAATGCTTTTGCAAAACTTTCACATTCCCCCAAGAAACATTGCATTTACATAGCTTTCTTGCTAGGCTTTGTTTTCTCACAAAATGTTTGTATTCCCTGAGAAACAGCATACGCTTGCAAATCTTGAGTTTTCTTGCAAAAGTTTTGTGTTTTCTTGAGATACATTGGATTTGTTAACACATTTTATGTATTCGCTTGCATAAACTTTTGCATTTGCTTGCACAACTTTCACATTTTCTGGTAAAACATTTGCATTTCCCCTACAAACTATGTTTTGCAAGCAAATGCAAAACTGGTGATGGAAACAATTTGAAGTCTATATTTCGATGCTTATGTGAGTGAAGACAATCTTTATTGGAGGAACACAATACTTTTGTGAGCAAACACAAAGGTTTTTTGTTCAAATGCTAATTTCCTCAGGGGAACACAACCATTTTGTGAGCAAACGCAAAAGCAATGAAATATCATTTTTCTCCCATCAACATGTCCCCTTATAGAGGCTCAGCAACTTTTACCTGAAGTGAGGAAATGTACAATACAACCGATAATATTGTAAGGAGTCAATGATAATTAAATTATCGGCTTTGATAACTACATGCTGTTTTTTGAAATGGTAAATTACTTTTAGGGGTTAATCATAAAATAGCTTGCCAATTAAAATAATTGCAGATTTATTCACTGATTTCTATGAGACCGGATCTGAATAATGTTCCAGGACAAACACTTTGATTGTTAATACAAAAACATGTCCTTCTTGGGTTAAGCAGTAGTGCACTGTTAAAGTTTAACAAGTTTTTGTAGGGTACAAGTTTGAGGTTTATTGGTTATACTGTGGGACGCTGGGATTATGTTGTGATATTGGCGATCAGTATCAATGCAGAAAAAACTGCACAACCACAACAAGTTTCTTGACTGTTTATGTATCGCATACACTCCTGACACAACTGAGCAAACTCTAAAGCATCCTGTGGCTGAAGATGTGAAGCCAGCTACCTAAACTTTAGCTGGACTCTGCACAATGTCAAAACATCCATGAAAGCCTGAAAACTTCTTATGAAGGGTTTGAGGGGGTTGATTGGTGAGCAAAGAAAACTTTGCAACACTTTACAAAGCAGAAACTCAAGCACTGAAAATGACTGGAGACAGTTTTCAAGATTAAATATATATGAGATACTTCAGAATACTGCTGGCTTTTTCATTTCATTTTAGAAATGTTACTAAGTGCAGATTAGGTGGTATTCAGCACCGAAAAGGGGTGCATTAGACCCCTGTGAAACCTCTCTTCCATCTTGGATTTTGGAGACAAGGGTAAAATGATAAATAATGATGAAGAAAACATAAAAATAAAACACATGTGCCAAGTTCCGAGAAATGCACTTAGAAATGGTTTCAATTTAACAACTCTGAAAATGTCAAGTAGCGTAATAACATTGTCATTACACCTTAATCGTCCTTTATAATTTTTTTAAATATATTTTTCAAGATTAAAAAATATTTTAAACAAATATCATTAATTTTTAATTCATAAATATTATTGTTTTTTGGGGAGTCTCACCACATGAACAACCCTGTCTTGTCATAAAAAGCGCAAATGATATCTTAAGGGATTTTAGATGGTCTACAGGGGTGGCTGTGATATAATTTCCTGTTTTATGTTTTTATTTATTTTTTTCACGTTTCTGCATGTTGGTTGCAATTCACACCTTTTTTGGGGTTTTCAAATATTAATAAGCAGTGAAGCAGTTTTGGTATTTATTTCTGAGAAGTAATAAAACATTATGCCCAACTACTATATAATAAGGTTTCCTTTTCAAGAAAATCATTCATTCAATACACCTTTTTTTCTTCATTATGACATCAGGACCGGTCTATCACCCTGACAAAAATTAATTTTAATACAGAAATTAAAAACAGACTCCTTATAAAAGAGGTGAATTCAATTAATTACCTTTTAATGTATTTTTTGTAAAACAAACAAACAAAAAAACTAAAAAATCATGCCACTAACCCAATTTCTAGGTTGTCCAATAAACCATTTTTCTAATCTAGAGAATGTCTTGTTTGAAAAAAATCTGTGAAATTACTGATTCTGATCAAGCTTTATATGAAACTCATATTTTGAATTTCTGGGGTTTTAAAGCAAAAACTTAAAATAATTTAATAAGAGAGCCAACAATAACATTAGTTTCATTAGTGACAAGTCTTCAGTGACTTGCAGCCCTCTGACTCCAGCATGCCTGCAGGAATATACAGTATTTGTGATATGATTCCAAATTTAGGGGGGCCAAGCTTGTTGACATGGGGGCACTGCCCCCCCCACACCCACCTCCACCCCAGCACCCCTGGCTACAACTGCCCCTGATGGTGACTGTACTCATTACTCACCAGTGGCCGTTCTCCGACTCTTCTAGGAACTGTACTAAATCTCCCGCCTCGATGGAAAGATCCTGGGCGGTACCTGACTCGTACGTCAGCTGCACTTGATAGCGATCATTATCCCCCTTAAGAGAAAGAAAAAAAGACCATGATTTATTTCAGGGTCATGGCACCAATTATTATTGTTACTTTTTTTTTTTTTGGCTTTACTTGGAACTGGAAAGAAATGGGTAGGAAAGTTAGATTCATGTGTTCAGGGGCGCCTTCAGGATTTCTTCCGAGGGTACGCACAGAGGTTTTTTTTTTGGGGGGGGGGGGGGGTATTTTCTCCCCCTTCTCGCCAAAATGGTTTATACTACTGTTTCAGCTATTAAAATAGTTCAGTTTTGTATTTAATGAAAAAGTGATTATATTTCGTTTAGTTTTTTTTTTATATATAAAGTTAATTTAGAAAAACATTTGGAGCATATAGTTCAGTTTTGTATTTAATGGAAAAGTGATTATATTTCGTTTAGTTTTTTTTTTATATATAAAGTTAATTTAGAAAAACATTTGGAGCATTTTTTGTTTCATTAAATGTAAGTTGTTGTTTTGTTTTTTTTAAGTAAGGACCAAGCGGCCAACGGCAGACAGTGAGTTGATCATAGCCTGTGTTTGATCAGTTTAGCCTTCTCAAATCATCACAACTTGCCTAAAATAAAATCTATATATAAAACAGTTCAAGCATATCACAATGTTAGTTTAAATGTTTAACCTATATAAATGTGCGCTGTTAGACACATATCCAATCGTTTGTGCGGAGAGTGGAAGCTAAAGCGCACTCTGCAGGACATGGAGGCGCCAGCGCGGTCACTTGCATTTATTTCTAACAGTGGAAACAACTTAAAATACGCAGTCATTTGTGCTCATAAAGGTAAGAGTAATACATCACTCGGAACTGTAAAGGGTCTACTTTTATTTGTGTGCACTCACAA